TTTATTCTTTATGGAACGCCAGCATTCAGAACATGGAGGCCAATCACTGTCCCCCAGACATCCGCCCTTAGATTTATATTGTTTTAAATCAAAGCGCCCTGGTGAGACGACCTGCTGGTGCGGTCGGTCCTGGGTTCCTCATGAGGCTGGATCTGCCAGTCCCACCTCATTTTTACCCCTTTCCCACTGGCCTAAAACCAGTTTAAACCAGTTTACCAGTGGGCTTCTAGCGGCAGTGGGAACAGCTCACTGACGCGTGTCAATCCGGGTCAAACGACTAGGACGGCGACCCGCGTTAAACTCCGCCGGGCTCTGATCGGCATCCTGTGGGAACACCAGAGCCAGGTCGACCCGCTAAATTATGATACCATCGAACGCATCGTACGGACGCCATCACACGGCGCCGGCTGCTTCTGATCCAACAAGCAGAAACACGATAAACGTGGAGCAGCTCTGGTGAGACGGATTCAGTCCGATATTAGAGAGAAACTATAAAGCTCACCGACTACACCCTGCTTCCTCACATGATGCTCTCCATTGTTTACTTTCCTGATTTCTGTCGCACTGGTGACATCACCAACGCTAAACCAGTGTGATGATGTCACCAGACACACTAACAGGTCGCTGTAACGACCTGCTCCGAGTCAGACTGGGTCAGCAGCTGCCTAACAGGTCACTGTAACGACCAGAGACCTGCTCCGAGTCAGACTGGGTCAGCAGCTGCCTAACAGGTCACTGTAACGACCAGAGACCTGCTCCGAGTCAGACTGGGTCAGCAGCTGCCTAACAGGTCGCTGTAACAACCTGCTCCGAGTCAGACTGGGTCGGCAGCTGCAGGCCCGTCAGCACACGGCTGACTGGGAGTCGCCTTGCTTCATGTGTTTAGGAATCCAATCAGATTCCTCCATCTGTGGTTAAATCGGGGTTTATCTGTTATAAAGTTTAAATAATATCATTTTAATGTTTTGCTTCTGAAGGATTTCATTGCTCTCCAGTTAAAACTTGATATTTTTCTGTTTCCTCTCTTCAGGTCCTTTTTCTGACAGATTTATCTCTGGTAATGAGACGCCGGACCATGAAGGGTTAATGACCTGTTACACACTAACCCAGACATCCAGAACCTTTCGGTCTGAAGCAGAACCGGGTCCAGAACTCACCAGTACGGCGTTCCCACGAAGGAGTTGGCTGGAGACACGATGGAGGCCGACCCGAAGTCGCCCAGTTTGACCTGACCCGGTTCAGTCAGCAGGATGTTCCCGGCCTTCACGTCTCTGCAGCAGACAAACACCATCAGCAGAACAAAAACCAGAACCAGCTAACAGGAACTGGGCCCGGCCCAGCAGCTGGTCCACTGAGCAGGGTGGATCCAGACTGGACCGGTTCCGACCCAATCCTCTGGGCCCAGAAGAATCAGGGCTGGTTTAGAGCAGAACCAGTCGGTGCTACCAGCAGCTTCTGGACCCTCCATGTTCTGCTGGGTCCCAGGCGGTCCCATGCGGGCCGTACCTGTGGATCATGTTGTGGGAGTGCAGGTAGGCCAGGCCCTGCAGCGCTCCGTGGCCGATGGCGGCGATCTCCACCTCCTGCAGCGGCTTCTTGTGGACTGAGGAGGACAGCAGACATGAGGACAGGGAGAGACACGGAGCAGAACCGGCAGGCCGGGGGACGCACTCACCTTCCAGGAGGTCCGAGGCAGAGCCCAGGCAGTACTCCATGACCAGCTGAGGGAGGGACGAGGGACAGAATTAGTCCAGCGGAGCAGCGGGGACCTCCAGCCGGTCCAACAGAACCTACCCATGCCGTGTGCTCCTTCAGGTAGCAGCCCAGGTACTCGATGGTGTTAGGATGGCGCAGCTTCTGCAGGAACTTCACCTCCTTGATGATGTCCTGCCATTTCTGGAGGACAGGGGACAGGTTAGGGGACAGGGTAGAGGACAGGATAGTGGACAGGTTAGAGGACAGGATAGAGGACAGTTTAGGGGACAGGTTAGGGGACAGGATAGGGGACAGGATAGAGGACAGGTTAGTGGACAGGATAGAGGACAGGTTAGAGGACAAGATAGAGGACAGTTTAGGGGACAGGTTAGGGGACAGGTTAGAGGACAGGTTAGGGGATAGGATAGTGGACAGGTTAGAGGACAGGATAGAGGACAGTTTAGGGGACAGGTTAGGGGACAGGTTAGAGGACAGGTTAGGGGATAGGATAGTGGACAGGTTAGAGGACAGGATAGAGG